AGATCTCGGTGTTCTCTGATTACGTTTTTCCTGGGTTCTTGTTCTAACATTTATTCATTATTCCCTGTATGTAGCTTCCTTGTTGTGCAAGAAATACTAATCCTATGTATTGCAAATTCTAAAAATGGTCAAAATAGTTACTAATTCATTCCCTTGTTGTGTATAGGTTTTAATTGTGGAGAAGCTGTAAACTTTGCTATTGGTGATTGGTTTCCACTTGGTGCTGCGGCTAGCAAACGTTACGCACAACTCAAGATGCTACCGATAATTCCATACGAAGAACTTCTTTGTAAAGAGGCAATGCTTATCTACAAGTCCTCAAAAATCAGAAGTTTTAAGAAAAAACTTGAAGACACGCCGTCCTATCGTGCTATTGTACCGTCTTTCTTGCATCTCATGCAATTTTATAAGAACTCGCTATCGCAGTTGAACAGTTCAAGAAATGTGTCAAGCTCTTCTGATACATTATTAACCTCTCTGACATGCAGCATCTGCCATAGGGATTGTTACATAGCTTACTTGTTGTGCAAGAAATGCTTTTACTACCCGATTTGTCTTTTTCACGGTAAAACCTCGTTATTCTATTTGAGAAATTTGGAGAATTGTTATTTCAGTTGCTAAACTTGCTTATTGTGATTATATTCAGATGTTCTTCCACAAAATTGCTTATGTGGGAGAAAATATTCTGTTTTTAAGAGGAATGACATGTTGGAATTGGAACGTGCTGCCAAAAGTTTTCAACGCGAAAAAGAATGCATCGACGCATTATCTTTAACAAGTATATTCTCCTATAATGACATAAAGGAATTCACCAAAGATCTCAAGGTATGTGAAAATGTAAAACTTTACATTGATTTACAATTTAGGATCCTCGAAACTTCATTCAAATAGTTGCATCTTGTTTTCTTGCATCACAAGCATATTGCATTACTTTATCTTCGGGTTGCTTACTTTTATTGATTTTAGCTTCTTAATTTGAATCTTAAAGCAAAATAATAATTGGCATGAAGAAAAAAGTGGTAGAAGAGGTGTTAACTCTCTAGGCGCAATATCAAAACGGAAAAGACGAGTTGCTGATAACATTCAGCACAAAGTCGAAAAGAAGACAAAGATTCGTCATAGAAACAATGTGCCTCCATCGGTGATGAGTACTAAAAGACCACAAATCCTTTATAACTCAAAACAAAAAACATGACTCTTAAAGTTCCTTAAAGTATCATCTTACTAGCAGATGACAGGAAAGACATTGTTCAAATTCTGGCAGATTTATGGTCTTCATTCATTTTATTCTAACTAAACAAATTGTGTGCAGTAGATTAATTTAGCATTTTCATTCTTTTAATATGGCATTGTTTCCAACTCATATAAGGAGACTAATACTCAATAATTTAATGTAAGTACTATATCATGTAATATTTAACCATATATTTTATCATGTAAGGTTTGTCACACTTTGTACTTCTGCAATTTAAACTCCTTAATTTATTTGGTTCTCCGTTTTATATAGGCTACAATAACTTTTCCCAGATGCTGTGTTAGACTATAGTGTAGCCTGAAACACTAAATCTTATAATGTTCCTTGCAAATCAGTAAAATCACCATTAAAAATGCTTTTAATCCATCATAACAAATTAACTAATTAGTTCTAAAGTCACACTTATGAATATGAATGGTACACGTGGCGGCAGATTGTTGTTTGATGGTTGTTACATACGGTACGATGAATATAGTTTCTTCAACGAGAGTGTTACTGATCAAGACACTACCGTTTGTGGAAGTAATGAAACTAGGAATAATGTTTATGAAGGTAATGTTTTGGAGTTGGTGAGGAATTTGAGTGTGTAGGCGCCAAAAAACGATGGGTTTTCGGTTGAGTTTGTTGAGAGAAAGAATGTAATGGTTTATGGTTTGGCTCAGTGTTGGAAGTTTGTTACGGGTAGTAACTGTCGTAGATGTTTGGAAGATGCTGTTACTAGGATTGGTTCTTCGTGTCGGAAGAAAGAAGATGGAAGGGCTTTGAATTCTGGTTGTTATTTGAGGTTTTTGCCACACAAGTTCTATAACAATTCAAGTACTAATGATGCTGTTGCTGGAAACCGCGGTGAGCTATGATCTCTTTTTCTTTTCTATTAGCCTTGAATTTGCATAATCACGTGATTCGGTCGAAACTTCCAAGTGTTATTGCGGTTGTAGACTGCAATTTAAAACCATGATCAGTAGTATAATAAAATCATGATTGAAGTTTGAAAGTGTGTAACTATGTTTTAGGACACAGAAAAATGGCTATAATTTTGGCTGCATCTTCTGCTGTCTTGGCTCTTCTTTTGGTGGCTGCAACAATGGCTTTCTTTATAAGAAAGAATGTAATGAGGAAAAGAAGAGGTACAAATGTTTGATATTTAAAGATTGAAATCACTTTCTTCCTAAATCCAAGTACTGAAAATTATTTATTGCTGTTTTGTTTTATGCTACAGAGAGAAAACAATTTGGTCACTTTTGGACAGAGTGAACAAATCCAAGCTAAATGTTCCGTATGAAGTTCTTGAAAAGGCGACAAATTACTTCAATGATGAGAATAAACTAGGACAAGGAGGATCAGGTTCAGTTTATAAAGTATATTCTGATCTTATCTTATCGTAATATTTTACAACCTTATTCTTGCTGAGTGCTTATAGATTTTTCCGTTCATTTTAGGGAGTTATGCCAGATGGAAAAACTGTGGCTGTTAAAAGGCTTAGTTTTAACTCGACGCAATGGGTGGATCATTTCTTCAACGAGCTTAATTTGATTAACGGAATTGATCACAAAAATCTTGTTAAGCTTTTGGGATGCAGCATTATAGGACCTGAAAGCCTTCTTGTTTATGAATATGTGCCTAACCAGAGCCTCTATGATTATAGGACCTGAAAGCCTTCTTGTTTATGAGATGCTAGAAGGAGTTTGAGCAAGAGTGAAAGAAGGAGGGAGAAGAGAAAAAGATGACAGTTAGAGTTTGGAGAAGAGAGACAGTTAGAGTTTGGAGAAGAGAGGAGAAGATTGTTTTATATATTATAAGACTAAAATTTGTCTAAAATAATGTTTAATAAATTAAAATAATTTTATTAATAATTGAAAAAACCAAATAATATGTCATGTCATATTTTAAAATACTACACAACTGCCACGTAGGGGATTTTTAACGTTTTTTCTAAAAAACATAGAGGATTTTTAACATTTTTTCTATAAAATTTAATAGAAGGAACTCATTAGATTAACAGAAACATTTTAAAAGACTAGAGCGTAACTTTTTTTAATTTTTTAATTCAAAGACTACATCGAAGTTTACTTCTGCTTGGAACTTCAAGGGAGGCTTCAACACAAAATCAGTACCTGAAAGTTTTACACATGCATGCATGTAGTAACGCGCAAAAGGGACTACGAAAGTTGAAAGCTAAAAGCACCAGGATTGAGAAGAGAGGGTAGTACCAAATTAAACAGGAAACATAAAAAATGATAAACTGAACAGCCAAAATGCCAAGATATAGCTGATAAAGAAGCAGCCAAAATGCCAAGATATAGCTGATAAAGAAGCAGCATGAATCATGAAAAAGTTCTCAATCCAAGACACAGAGAGAGAGATCTTGGATTCAAAATTGTGAAAGTTGATTTTTTAAAACCATGGAAAGGATACATGAAAACAGGGTTCACTTCAGTTGAGAAATCATACATTACTGCCACACGCAGATCATAACGTAGTTGGTAATTTATAGATATGTCTGTTTCTTTAATTGCTCTACTAGATATTTCAGAGAAAAAAAACCTTCATACTTGGGAACAGCACCACATCAAACATTATAAACAGCTGTAACACAGAATGACACTGAAGGAAAACGAAAAACAACAAAATGGGACAGTTATTTTAGTCTGCCCCAACACCAGTGATCATAAACTAACTACCACAAATACTGCCCCTACACAACTCATACATACAGGCATAAAAATAAAACTGTTCCAATATTATTTTTGAAGATTCCCCACTGCCACTAAATTAATACATATCAGTTGACAGAAGATCTAACAACTAAGGCTTTAAAACTAATCTGACCAACAACACGCTGCTACTATGCCAATAGCTAGATCACAGAGCTCCTCAAAGCACCTCAGTCCGAATTGAATCGAATCGCTGGTTAACAGCGAAGACAAATCTGGATCCAGATTCAAGCTGCAATACAAGACCCAATAACCCGGATCGACAAAAACATAAATGTAATCCAAGATACTCCAGCCTAAGGATCAGACCACGACAAAAACCAAAACTGAATTAAGGTCTCCAGACGAATATTTGGCTGTCAGTCCAGCAAGAACGTAGCAGATGGCAGAAAAATTATCAGAACTGCCCTTAACTACTGGTTAACCAGAAAGAACACTCAACAGTATCTCTAACAGAAAAGAAAAAAAAACATCTGCATCGAACTCACTCATGCACACAGCCGAAGCAAGTTCTGGAACTCAAGTACTATTGAGATAAGCAGTAATCTACACGATTTGATTTGATGTTTAGCCAATTCCATGACAACGATTTTACATCTTCAGCCATTTGATCCACTAAAACCATATTGTTGTTGAATAATTTATCATTTCTTGCTTTCCATATGCTCCGGTCGCAAGCAAATCACAGAACACTTATTCTTTTTGAAAAAGCTCTTCCGCTTCCAAATAAGCCTTGAAATTGCTCTAAATGCGCCAAACATTCCTTTTGAAATACCGAAGAAATTCCAAAGCAGTTGCTATCTATTATTCATTCAGTACAGTTCAATCAATAAAGGAAACCATTCATAACAAATAAAAGCTTTAATGTAAAACAGAATATCATGTTTACCATCAACAAACAGCAAAGTTCACAATCATAACATCCTTAAAATGACTTTAGTGTGTTAAAAGAAAAATAAGAAAAAGCATTAGAGATTCCCAAAACACATACTTGTAAATTTGTTTCTTCATATGCAATGGATACAATAGAATCAATGTCCCAATAAGCTTGGGTCCCCTATATACTCTGCCATATGTTCAAGTTTGACATTGAGCATCTGATGGGTATCAGCATCCCTAATAATACCAATCTCCCTATCCAAATCCTTCTCAACAAGACTCCCAAAAGCACCCTTATGTTTCCCAAGCAATACAAGAACAGGCCCCCCTCGTCGTGGAATAGCTGTCTCGAGCATATCTTGAGACACCCCTTGAATAATCTCCCTACTCTCATCCATAGATATGTCACAAATAGTAGGTCCAATAACATCCAAAACCTCACCCTTCTTCAAATAAAATCTCCCCCCTTTAAAACTCCGACTAACCACTCTAACCCGAATATGACTCGTAAGCCAAGGAACCTGTTTCTTCCCCTTCTCTTCCTTACCACCACGATTACCATCCACTCTCCTCTCTTTCACCTCATCCCTCCCACGCTTACTACGAGACCCTCTTTCCTCCTCACAGTCTTTAACCTTCAAATCCTTCAACTTTCTCAAACACCTATCTTCTTCAACAGAACCTAATTCAGCAACATCATCTACCCTAACCTTAACTTCCTCACTACTCCCTAAAACCTTCAAAACAAGAACATCATCCCCAACTCTACCAAAAACATTAGCCTTCAATCCAACATCTCTACCTCGGACAATTCTCACAACTTTCTCCTCCTTCTTCCTCTTCTCACTTTCCGCCTTCCCTTTCCTTTCGCCCTTTTTCGAAGTAGGAGGAGGCAAATCAGCAACAAAACCCAAACCTTCCTTAGCAGTCCTCCTCTTAACCTCAACAACCTTAACATCCTCCTTAGCATTCTTCCCAATCCCCATTCCTTCTTTCCATCCATACCCACCCAAAAGCGCCGCACCAAAACCATCCACCGAAACATCCTTAAACTCATCAAACCCCTGATCATCAGGAAGCCTCTCCATATCTTCCTTAAACTTCTGCATCATATTAACCTCAATCGAAATCCGGGGCCGTGGAGCATCACCGTCGTCTTGCTGCTTTTTATTTTCGGAATTCGCAGCACGAAGGTTGAGACCGTACGTTGACTTGTCGGATTCCAGTTGATCGGAGATCGAAGAAGCATCGGGTTCGAATGTAAGGGAATGGGAGGAGTGTGAATCGGTTAAAGGAAGGTCAAGGTTCTTCATTTTTTTGTACGGACGCCATTGGTTTTCGATTGGGGGAATTAGGGTTTTGGGATTTGAGTCTAGGGTTTGAAGTTTGGAGGGGTCGAATTCAGTGATTAACTGTTTTTGAAGATGTTGTTGTTTGGTGGAAGAATCTTCGTCGAAGGTTTGGGAGGGTTTGACGGAATTGTTGGACTTGGATGAAGATTTTGATGAAGGTAAGGAGAAAGAAAGCTTCTTCATTGTTAGGGTTATGCGAAGGAGAGAAGAAGATGAAGAAGACGATGGTTTTTGATTCGATTGAGTATGAGGCTAGGGTTTTGTAAACGATGCCGTTTTATGGGTTTGATTTGATTCAATAGTGAAAATATTAGTAGTTCTGTTTTCTTTTTCTTTGTCCGAGGCTTTGATTTTTCCAGCAGAAAGAGAATAGAGCTAGAGAGGATTATGAGTTAGAAGAGAAATATGTGTGAGAGAGACGCTAAGAAAAAATTATACTCTTTATAATTTTGCGCCGATTTGTTTTACTTTTAAAAATTGTATTTTTAATAATGATTTTTATAAAATTAGGTTTTAAAATATTAAAGGTTTTTTATATTTACTTTTTATAAATTAAAAGATTAATTTTGATCTCTTGTAATATAAATATTCATTATTTAAGATTAAATTATTGCCAAAATCACAATTTAAATATATATATATATTTTATAAAAATTATTTTTATAAAAATTATTTGAAATAATTTTAAATTTAAGTGATTTTTGAAATTTCGACATCTAATAAAAGTTATAATAAAATGACGAAATATATAAAATAACATTTTAAAAATAACTATTTCAATCGATTTTTCAGTTGAAGTTTTTTTTTAATATTCTTTGTAAAAAAATTTTAAAACAAAAATATGTAACACTATAAAAATTATACATGTAAAAATCAAAAATTTATTTCAACAAGAATGTCTTAGAAGAAGATAAAACGAGGCTGTCAAATAACCTCGATGTTTGATGTTGCATTGGCACATGAAAGTATGTAAATCTTCCTTCCATTATTGAAAGAATTAAGAACACCATATTTCATTACATTAAGGATAGGGTTTGAAAGTGTATTAATAGATGGAGTAGTAAAATGCTCAGGTAGAGAAGTTCTTCTTAAATTTATGGTGCAATCAATCTCAACCTATTGCATGTGTCTATCTTCTACCAAGCTTTATTAAAGAAGATATTCAAAAGATGATGAACTCAAATGGTCGTTGGAGCTGTCCGAGTTCGACATCAAGTACGAGAGCAGAAAAGCCCTCAAAGCCTAGGTGATGGCCGACTTCATGGCGGAGATGACCTTGCCTGCCTCCCTGACTTGCAGAGCTTGCAAGTGGACAATCTTCGTTGACGAGCACAAAAAAGAAAGGAGGAAAAAAATCTATCATCTAGGAGATACTTCCTCGACCAAGGGAGGAGTTCGACCTCGTCGAAGAGGTCCGATCAGGGGTAGCCCTCTGCGAGGCCTCGTTAAAACAACAAATCATAGTTAGGCATAACGCCAGAGTCATACGACGAGACATCCAAGTAGAGAGTCTCTTCCTGAGGAAAAATCACAAAGATTCTCGCGAAGGCAAACTCTCCACAAATTGGGAGGGACCCTATCGTATTCGAGCAAAAGCGGAAAATGGGGCATACTTTCTAGAACACCTCGACGGGGAAGAACTCGCTCGACCATGGAACGCTGAAAAGATAAAATAATATTACAGTTAAGGCTACAACAGTCGACGTGCTCCGTCAAAACGACGACCACAATGTACCGAACAGAAATGCGCGCCTCGATACAAGCATTGCATACTAAAATCAATCATAGCAGGCTTTTACTCTAGAATGAGAAAAACCCCTGTCCGACAGTGGTCCCTCAATCGAGTCCGACGTCGCCACTGTACCATGAAAAACAGAACACCTAGCTCGCGATAGGAAGTTCACGCTGCAGAACTCAGACCACGAGCGCGACCTGAGCTTCACTCTCTTACCCGAAAACTATCCAGGCCTTTTAACCAGTTCCCCTCACTGTTGAACAATTATCTATCGAGCGAACTCCAAAATAGAATGAAAAACCATTCACGTACAAATATCCAAAATAACCCATACATAAGCGACCACCACGGCCGAAATCACATATCAAAAAATTAACAACCACAAAGACCGCGATTGTATGGATTGCATAAAAAAAGGGCCAAGCCTTATCCAAAGAAATTACAATGTACGACACGCAGGTCGGAAATACAAAATAAAAAATCAATCAGCATTTGGCTGCTGCTCCTCGTGGGCAGGCTGCTCGTTCTCCTCGCCCAACTTGAGGAAATCTGGGATGACAATCTGGTTGTTCACCATGTTGTGGAGGGACCCTGCTCCTCGGTAACCAGCTCAACCCCGGGGTTCACCAGTTTCAGTTGCTCCACCGTGTTATTGATGGCCTCCTCGGTGGCCCCCCAAGTTGTCCTCCTCAGCCTGATTGATTCGAGAAACAAGCTTGGCACGAGTCTTCAGACTCTTCACCTCATTGCTCTTGTTCTCGGTAGAAGCCATGATATCCCATAGAGCAACCACCACATCCTCTACAGATTTCTTCTCTTCATCTAAGGTATCCCACTCCCCGGTAACCTTGACCAGCTCCTCCTTAGATTTCTTCGCCGCCTCCTCCGCAGCCTTCAGCTTCTCCTCCAGAACCGCATTAGCGGTCTGAGTCTTCTTCAGCTCCTCTTCCTGAAGGGCCCCCTCCTCCGTATAGACCACTGACATGCCTAAGACCCTTATTAGGGTAGCTTCGTCCTGAGCCAGCAACGTTCTTTTGCCCGGACGATCAAGCTCCTCGAGGGCCAAAGACTCTGCTCGATGGAGTGCCAGAGAGGAACCTTCGAAGAAATCCCTCTTGTGGAAGCATGGGGGCAGCTCGTACTTGTTTTTCTCTCCTTTGTCGGTCAGGTCAAGGACATCCTCTGCCCGGGAGCGCTTACGCCTTGAAGTTACTGACAACAGGGAAGTCTGGACGACAACTACAGTAGATGAAGAGGTCGCTGATCCCGTCGGGGGCAGAACTACCTGATCGCCAAGGCAGCTTTTGCCAACTTTCTTCCCTAGCTTGAGCTTGGCCACTGCAGTTTTCACTAAATGTTCTTGGGTTATAGACATCTTGCCTGCAAAATAATAGACACATGTTAGTAAACAAAAAATAACAACACATGACAAGCTAAGAAGAAAAATGGCTACCTAAAAGTTCTAGAGCCTCCTCGCGTGTTCCACAATCAAAGAGCTCCTTACTGTTAATATATCGGGCTTCCACCTTGGGCCCCCCGTCATCTTCAAAAATAATGTCCCCGCCCCTGGTCACGCAGTGGGCAGGGCGGAAACCATCAACAAAAGGCACCAACTTGTTATAGTTGGCCAGGTCATCCTCCTCCAACATGGCCGACTTGGCTATATACTCCTCATTTTCCCTAGTGAAATGGTCGTTGCTCTAGGTGAAACGGAATTTCAGCGCTTGACGCCCCCTCATCTTGCCTTGCTCGTCGCGAAGGGGCTCTCCATTTTCATTTGTAAAAATTTCCCAAAGAAACAAAAAGTCTTTGGTCCTCTTCGACAGAGGCTCCACGACATAGTACCTTTCCTTGAACGTCCTTATGGACTCCGAAAAGGCCTTGAACAACTTTCTCTCTTGCTTCAGGGAAACCCGTCTGAAATGCCCTCGTATGACCTGGCGTTGGAGGTGGGAGACAGTGAAGAATAGGGGGAGAGTGGCTCCAATCTTCAAGTACTCGCACGTAATCTCAAATGCTCTGATGAAGGAAATCGAGTTCGGATGGAGCTGAAAGGGTGCCAAGTCCAGATATCCAAAGACTATCACTTGGAAGTATGTGAAGGGAATCCTCAACCTAATCTTCTTAAAAATGTATTCGTACATGGAAAAACGCTCGGCGTTGTAAGCCAAGCATATCCGGTCATCTTCCCCGGGAAAGTGGACCCTTAAATCTTCCTCGTCCCCCACCGTCATGAAGGTATCCTGAGTATGGAAAGCGGAGAGGGGGCATGCTCCCAAGGCTTAGCAGAAATCCATTCTTCTTCGGGACTTCTAGAAGCGGGTTCGTTGGAACTGCCATCACCTGAAGAGCTCTCCTCGGACAGCTTCCGCTCGAGCATAACGTCATCCTCGATATTGCGAGACATCTCCTATACCTAAAAAGTAGAGGACAAAAGTAAATTCGATGGCAAAATAAATCCACCCTTCCACCGCTAGTCAAGTGAAAGGGCGTGCTAAGGCCTAAGGACAACATCCTCGACCTAAGGTCTTACTCAAACAACGCAACGAAGGTGCAAGGAGATTCTCCATCGCAATCCCTTAAACCCTCACGGGGAGATCCTCCTCGACACTTTACCTAGAATTCCATTGAAGATCCACCGAAAAACTCATGAGTACACCAAAAACTTCATAAGTTCCACCTAAGACAAACTCATTCGTCATCACAATGGTGCCATAACCAACGGAAAATCCTAAGCTTCTAACATTCTGAAGACGGCGGCAGAAAATGGCTCTACCATCGCCAGACAGCAACATCTGTTGGAATGCACCTAATCTACCTAATTCTTCGTCCTAACCACATGCAAGTCTAAGCAAAATAAGATTAAAACTTGCGTAAAACAAAAAAGGATCAGAAACTTACGTGGTCGAAGAGAAAGGTGAAGGTGAGATAATACTTAGAAGGGGGGTTGAATAAGTATGAAAGATTAAGACTTTAAAAATAATGACACAATTATTTTTATCCTGGTTCGTTTAAAACAACTACTCCAGTCCACCCTTCTTAGAGTGATTTGCCTTTCTCAACAAGGACTTAATCCAATATTTAATCAAACTGATTACAATAGTAACACCTAAGAACAACTGTTCTTAGTCTTCTCAAGAGCTACTGATTCCAACTGAATCCTCTTAAGGAAAAACCTTTACAATCAATGTAAATTAAATACAAGAGTATTAATGCTTCTATAAAGCTTTTATCACAACAGTGATTTTTCTCTTAAGTTAAAGTACAAGAAATTCTAAGAAGAATATGAAAGAATGAGAGCTAGAATAATATGATTTCTTTTCAGCAAATTGTGTAACTGAAGAATTTGGTGGAGTCTTCCTTTTATAGGCAGCTGATCCATGGAAGCTGAGCGTTGAAAAGAGAGTCCCAAAAAGGTCTGAGCCTTTTTGTTTTCACATCAAGTGAC